CTATGGACTTTGATTGATATGCTACTTTTAATAATTTAAAATTCCCACATTCAACTGTGTTTTAAACTAGTGTAGTTCTGATAAAAACTCAAAGTGAAACAAGATGTTTCACTTTGGCTAATGGGTTGAAGTTCAACACATACTCCACTGCAACCCACTAACCTAGAGTCTTATGTGTTATATTTGACAGAATTACAGCACCTTAACCACAGGTCCTTCTCCCCTTCTTACCAATTTCATTCTTAAGTCCTGGAAAGGAAAATCTCATAATACCATTAGCATAAAATAATTATTCTTTCATCAGTTGGTTTCCATCCATTCAGTTGTCTATCCATCAGAATCCAAGAAACCCTCCAAAACCTCTCTCAAACCTTTAAAGAGAGGTTCAAATAGCAAAATGAAAAGGGAATTCATCTTACAAGTTTGTCTTATGCCTTCTTGGCGTATTCATATGTTAGAGGAGGAAGGAGAGAAAATCAGGCAAGAGACTACTTGCATAGCTAGCACTGTCCCCTCACACATGCTTCAAAAGGTTAAAAGCATTTATGGGACTGGTAAAGGCAATTCTAGGAAATAAGACGTGCTTTTCTTACCAGCTTTCAAACATCAGTTCTTTTTGGTTTCAGTTTGGATTTTTTCTTTATTTAGTTTCCCCTGAAATTCAAGTTCCACCAAATGTAATATTAAAAGAATGACCTAAAGACAGAATGGTCTGTGCACTAAGCATTTGGATTCACAAGGACTCTACAACTTTTATTTCCTGCAAGAGACTTCCACAATGACTAGCTTTTTTAAAAGAACTTTTACCTATGCAAAACTCATGAGCTGGTTAGAATATATTTGCTTGTGGAAAAAAAATTGAAAATTTGCCTCCATCTTTCAGAACAAAATTTGGGAATTTTTCGTGGTTTCAGGTTTTGTGGCCTGTGATTCACAACAAATAGGTTTTACTTAGGATAGTCAACACTTCTGTTTGTTACTCTTTGGCAAATAATATCAAGCAAAATGAAGCAGAAATTCAAAGCTATCTTAATACTTCCACTTTCATTTATCCTCTGGGCTCTTTTTTGAGAGGGTGTAAAGGACCTCTGCCATTCCTCTCTGTCTCTTTGTCGTAAGCCTTCTGTTAGACTTGTCTTTTCTCCCTGCAACTTTGTAAGCAAATCGAGGACAATGAAGTACTGAGCGATGTTGTTTCATAAAGTCCAAATTCTGTGATGAATGGCAAAAAATTCTTCCACCATGCAAAAGAAAAAGATGGGTTTAGAAACTTTCTTTCTTTACTAAACAGTGACCTTTAATCTCATTGCTTTCATTGCATTACTGTAGTGCTGTGAGAAGAAGGGAGGCGTTAGGGACCAGATGAAACAAATCCCCACGATGCAGTGCAGATCTGCTAGACAAAAACATCCCTTGGTCCTCTGAACATCAGCACACCTTCTTCATATTTGAGTCCCAGCACGGGTTGAAACAAAGGTGCAGTTAGTGCAATAAGGCTGAGAGCAGAAAAGTGAGAGAGGAAAAGAGGATGATTTTCTTGAGGTTGTCCAAAGTATTGCTGAAGTCTGATGATGACACAGAAGCAGAAAAGTCTTAAAGCATTTCTTAGTCTGAACCCTGACCTCATTTTCAGCTTATCTCCTTGATGAACCTCTCTCTTTCTTGTCCCCGTCACTTCCTTCTCTCCTTCCTCACCCTCTCCCCAAACGAAGAATTCAGCTTACTCCTCTATGCAACAAAGCAGCTGCATGAAGTCACATCCTGATAGAATAAGGAACTGTGTAACTGATCTACACATCTGTAGCACTCTCCACTGTACTTAGTTTGGTTGCAACGTAGTAAGTAGCAGTTGCACATACACTGGGTAAATAGGAATTAAACATGTTGAAGAGAAAACCATCTAATGCATCTGATAAGGAGAAAAGTCAAAAGCCAAAGGTAAGAATGTTTAATTTTTGTTGTCAATGAATAATAACAAGAATTCTTAACAATTTTTAAAAGGTGGGTTTCCTTTTAAATCCTATCTTTAGGATTTCCTGATGTGCTAGCAAGTTCCACAGTGCTGTAATCTCAGGAATCTATTTGTATATACTCCCTTTACAATAGTAGTGATCCAATTCAAGGAATCATCATTGTGAAGCTGCAATAGCTATGCTAAAGAGTCCTAGTACTCAACTTTGTCTATTATTTTATGTTCTGCTTCAGTCTTTTAACAGAGTAGCTCACAAAATCCCCTCTCTCCCTTTGATCTATAATAAACTGATGATATCCTGAAAAGGAGTGTGAGAATCAGTGAAGAATTAGAAAAGCAATTAAATTTGTTCCTTATTTTAATTAACTTGCTTTTGCATTACCATAACCAAAGGAGGAAAGGGTACTTAGCAAACAGTGTTTGTCATTTTCAGTTTCCTGGGAATTATTAAAATTTCAGTCCAAAAGAAATACTTTGAATAAACAGATAATGTGCTACACTGGACACTTTCCACAATCTGGAATTGTAAGAAAGAAAGTGAGAGTTTTGCAAGGGGCATAAAGATGAGTCCTGTGCTTGAACTTTACTTACAGTCCCTGGACTGAGTGCAAAATGATCTCTGAGTATAGTATTGTACAAGTGTATTGTAAGGCTGAAGTGAAATGGCTACTGCTCGATCTGAGCACTTTGATATCCATTTCTGCCTCAATTTACCAGTGTTGAAAATTTAACAGAGAGATTAGGAAAGCCTTGTAGTATACTTCTGCTCTCAGTAACTTGGCATCTAGTTTACAGACCCATCTTCTCATTATTTGGGAATACACCTGTCCTAGTGTCTTCCGTGTCCTAGAAGATTATTGCAGACACTATTCCCTGTTTGATTGAATTATAGGATCAACTGGGTTGGAAAAGACCTCAAAGATCATCGAGTCCAACCCTACCATGGTTACTAAACCATGGCACTCACTAAGTACCACATCTATTCTCATATTGAAAACCTCCAGGGATGGTGAAACCACCACCTCCCTGGGCAGCCCATTCCAGTGCCTCATTACTCTCCCGGCAAAAAATCTCTTCCTAATGTCCAGCCTAAACCTCCCCTGGCAGAGCTTGAGTCTGTGCCCTCCTGTCCTACTGCTGGTTGCCTGGGAGAAGAGACCAACCCCCACCTGACTGCAACCTCATTTCAGGTCATTGTAGAGGGTGATAAGGTCTCCCCTGAGCCTTCTCTTCTCCAAGCTAAACACCCCCAGCTCCCTCAGCCTCTGCTCATAGCACTTGTGCTCGAGTCCCTTCACCAGCCTCATTGCTCTTCTCTGGACCTGCTCCAGCACCTCAATATCCTTCCTGAACTGAGGGGCCCAGAACTGCACACAGTACTCAAGGTGTGGCCTCACCAGCATCAAGTACAGGCAGAATCACCTCCCTGGTCCTGCTGACCACACTGTTCCTGATCCAGGCCGGGATGCCATTGGCCTTCTTGGCCACCTGAGCACACTGCTGGCTCGTGTTCAGCTTTCTATCTATCCAAACTCCCAGGTCCCTTTCTGCAGCCTGGAGTGCTGCATGGGATTGTTATGGCCAAAGTGCAGGACCAGCACTTGGCCTTGTTAAACCTAATCCTGTTGGAATCAGCCCATCTCTCCAGCCTATCCAGTAGAAATGTCTTCTGGTTTTACACAGCACTGGCTTTTGTGTATTGTGCTTGCAGTTTTAAACTATGACTCATCAACAATTAAAATTAATGGGGTTTTCCATGGATTTCAAGTGATTTTGAATCCATTTCTACCACATTCGAATGGTTTTACTTAAGCTTTGCACTGGATTATTTGGTATGCATTTTCTTCTGTTCGGTCACCTCACTCTTTTATTTTAATGGCAAGGAAGATATATAATTAGTATCTAATTGCACTAGAGATTAAACAAGAAACGACCATGAAAGACTCTGTGGATGGGCTTCGTTTTCCTCTCTGTTAAGTATTTTCAAAAGCCAGTTTTGGTCACTCTCTTTTTGTAGAGCAAGACATTCTCTAACAGCATTCTGATTTTCCTTTTTAAAACTGTTTTCCTGCACAGTTAGCTATTAATCCATTAATTCATTCCATGCTATAAAAATGCAGGCATTGTAGCTTCTTTTATATATATATATATTGCTCACAGATTTGATTCACTGTATGTGTACAGCAGGGATAAAAACATTCCAACCACTTGAGTGAGTGTTAAATCTGCTGACTTTGCTCCACTCTATTTGTCTTATTGTAACTGTTTACAAAAATGGAAAGGTCTTGGTGAAGTGGCTCAGTATGTGTTTTTTTCTCAGTAGTGTTCTTTGAAACATTTCACCTTCTGTAGGCCCACTTTTGCACAGAACTGTGAAAACTTTCCACAATGAGAATGCTTTTGCTGAATGTGCTCTTCACAAACAGGGTGAGGGAGAGGACAGCCCCACATTGCATAGAAATCTGAATTTGTTGTAGTATGTTTCGAAACTTGTCCCATGTAAGCAACGTAAATACTTAAGTTGCTTAATATTGAATTGGGTAAGATGGGGCACAGGTTCCTACCTCCTGACAGAATTTACAGGATTTCACAAGTGACTTCCCTAGATCATGTCCTGGCTGCCCCTGCTCTGCCCAGACAACACTTGGTACCTCCTCATACTTACAAGACAGGATGACGTTGTCACTTGGGCTACTTCACCTTTCCTTTAGGCAGCTTAGATGTCCCAGTGTCTCCACACATCTACACAGGGCTAGCATAAGACCTGTGGGAGACCCATAAGGTCTGGAATGTTAAATGAAAATCATGTTTTCTATCTTAGACCCTCAAAGAGGACACCAAAAGTATCTTTTTAAGTAACTGAATCTTAACTATGGTGATCAGTTGTCTTTATCACAACTGTATGAACTTCAGTGAATTAATTCAAGTGTTTCATCCAGACTTTTTTTAAATCCTTTTTCTTTTATTACTTACCTCTTGATAAAGGTGAAGGAATACCATGCAAGGCTGCTGTTAAAGCCCTTCTTGAGGCAATTTGCTGTCCCTGTATAAAGCCCCTAGTAGTGGTGGGCAAGTCAATGACCACCGCAGGAGTAATACAGGTTTTCAGTATCTAACTGCCACTTCTCTATGTGTAATGCATTTACCTTACTTACTTATCATTGTGGTGCTTAAGGGGCTTCTGCAGATGTGTTAGGTACTGCATAGACAAAAAAGTCTATCTTACGACTTTCAGTGTCTGCTAGGAAAAGGTTAATCCTATGGCATGAAATACTAGTGTTGCAGGGCTTTTTGTTATGCAGCATGATTTTGGTAGTGCTGCAGTCATGCTAACAACTTATTTGAATGTCTGGCAGCTTTTAAGCATGCATGGATATGCATATACCTACTGAATGCACTGTATATAAACAATATAAATAAACATTCATTGTTAGGCAAAAATCCAACTATGCCCAGTGTCATCCAAGAGAAATGGGAGAAAAATACTTTCAAAAGAGGTACTGGAAGGATCCTGCTCCTTTGCAAATGTGTATCATTGTAGCTGCACATACTAATGTGGAAGTGCTCATTTATACCTTGTACATCAACTGAGGATCCCAAATAGCTGTATTATAACAGAAAAGTCCTAAGGCTTAAAAATGCCCTGCATAATATTGAAGAACTTCAACAAATTGAAGGACTAAGCTTTCAATTTCAAGCCTACCTGATCTGACCTATCTGTCTATCCAGGACCTTAAATGACTTCCTATCACAACAGAACATGTGCATCTCCCATCCCTTCTTTTAGGGAGTCCTTACCTGCCCTTCTTTCATTTCAGCCAGATGAGACACGGCTTGGTTTACACAGTGTAGCTGTTCTGAGCTGCAGTATTATTTGTTGGCAAGAGAGGTCAAACAAACTAGGCCTTGCTCATAGCCCTGAGGTTCATGGTCATGCTGATGGCTGGAGCCAGCTCACTGCAGGGAGAGTATCTCCTGATTTGCTGAAGTGTTAGTTGCTGAGCAAAAAAAGAAGGTGGGGGGAAGGATGCTTTTACTAGATGTGTTTCAGCTATGGGTCTGTGCACCACCCCTTAGAGAGCTGGGGAGAAGGAGAACAGTTGACTTGGAGGATGAAGAAAAGACCTCTGAAATCACCTGGATTTTAGCCTCTTTGACCGTTATGATGTTACCAAGTCAGTGCATCTGGGGAGTGGAATGAAGCAGATTCAGAACAATGGTAGGAACAAACATTCTAAGAAATTATACAGGATCTAGTTTTCTTTTTTTGTATACACTTCAGGCAGCACCATAGAAATAAAACATTGTTAAAGCATTTCACGGCTACTCTACATTCCATTTTGCACTGTTTGACACATTTGACCAGATGCAAATAATCTGTAAAACCTCCCTGCATTGTCTTGCCAGATTCACAGGATGTAGTGTGCTGGGCAGAACCTACTTCTTTCTCTCTTTCATGTTCCTAAGGACACAGAAAACTTGAGAACTGCCTGATGATTCTTGGCTTTACTTCAATGTGAAGCACAGATGACTTTGCGCCATTTTTTCTGGCTTGACTGAAGGAAGTCTTATATCATTATTCTACATGACAGTTGATCTATGTTTATGCTAAAGGTTTGAGACATTTGCATTTCCTTATTCTGCTTCCAAATGTGCTTGGTGCTTTAAACTCAGCTTACTTCTGGTGTGTAAGACAATTCAGGGTCAATGCCTCTGCATTTCACTTAGGCTAAAATATGTCCAAGCTTCTAATTAAATCAATATTCACTTACTTAGGTGATGAACCATTATTTGTTTTCAGGGTTATGGGAAAATAGTGGCAAATTCAATGGGAGGAAACATTTTAATATGCAAATTTATTCCCTAGTACTATTTCATACCACTAATTTTACTTTTTATAACCTTTAAATGAAACCCTGAGTTCACAGAAATCAATGCATATTTTTTGCCATATGCTCGAGGCCAG